GGCCACACGGCCTCCTGGCCTGGCAGGGCTGAGCCCGGGGCCTTCCCACATGGGGACGCCCCAGGGCTGGGCTGGCACAGGGCGGCAGCAGGCGCCAGGCCACTCGGGGCTCCACATGCCCTGGGCCGCATCCTGCTGCCGCTGCAGCAGCCGGGGCTGGGGCCGAGCTGCAGCGGGGCGGGGAGGGACCCTGGGCTTGTGGCTCACCCAGAAACTTGATGGCCAGCTTTCGCAGGGGCTCCTCTGGGAAGTCCAGGTACGGCAGGGCCTGGTGCACGTACTGGCCCACTCGGCTCCTGTCCTTTTCCAGCTGCAAAGAGTGCCAGGGCATGGAGGGAAAGCTGGGCTCAGGTTCTGCCCCTTGGCCGGGCGCTCCCTGTCCCCAGCACGGGGCTCCCCTGCCCGCAGAGCCCTGAGGCCCGTCCAGCAGCCGCTGGGGCCGGGTTTGGGGGGAGCAGAGGGCTGGGTGCTCCCAGGGAGCCAGGGGCTGGGGCTTTGGGGCCGTCCTTACCAGGCACTCGGGAAACCTCCACGGCTGCTCCATGGTCACCAAGTGCTCAAGGTCCCTCCACTTCAGGAACCTGGCTGCACCAAACAGTGCTCTCCGAGAGGCCTGCACAGCAACAGAGAGCAGGCCATGGCACCGCAGCCCAGGGCACAGCACCCGCATCCCTGCACCAAGGCCAGGAGGAGGCTGCAGGCAACCACGGGCCAGGGCAGGAGGCACAGCAGCCTCCTGCCATGGGGACACCGGAGCCCATGAGTCCTCACCTCTGCCACACGCTGGTTCTCATCCTGCCAGTTGAAGTAGAGTGGCACCAGCCTCAGGTACACAGGTGGCTTTAGGCTCTTGCTCCTCTCTGTCGCTTCCAGCACCTCCCGGAAGAGGAGCATGGAGAGCTGCTGCAGCTGGCTGTGCTCCTGGTGCAAAGGAAGAGGAAAAGACCTCAGTACTGGCTTCTCCAGGCCCACCAGGGCACAGGCCTGAAAAGGCACTGGGCCCAAAGTTTCCTGGCAGCACTCAGTGCCCACGATGAGGGGCACAGAGCCTTACGTTGTCAAAGAGTGGTCGCAGCGCCTCAAGCAACTTCAGGGCAGTGGGGTTGGATATTTGAATGATTTTCAAGCCCAGCACGTTGATGAACGCAGAGAGGGTCATCCCAACCGCGTCTCTGTCTGCATCCTGCAGTAGCTCCAGGAGGCTTTCATTCAGGCTCCAGATGCTCTTAGCCTGTGTGGAACACAATGCTGTGGTGCAGCCCCACGCTGCTGCCGCGGGGCCCAGAGGCCAAAGGCGCGTCCCAAAGGAGTTGGGCAGCTGGACGGGGAGGAGGAGAGCTGGGAGCAGCTGCCACAGCTGCCAAAGGCCACCCAAGGCCAAGCTACTGCCTTGCACAGCCCCACGCTGCTGTCCCGGCTTCAGCCCCTGCCCCCTGCTCACCATTGCGGGAGCCTTGCTGATCACCAGCAGGCCTCGGAGCGCCAGGCGACGCCTCTCCGGGCAATGGCTGCGCAGGCGCCTTGAAATTATCTGCAGGACGCTGGGCCCACATTGTCTGGGGTTCAGGCAGTGCAGGACCTGAAAGGCAGGGAGCAGTGACGGGGCTGGGCCCAGGCAGCAGCACAGGGTGCAGGCTGCGGTTGTGAGAGGGCAGAGAGGGGGAGGCAGCTGGGCCAGGCAGCGCTCGCCATCAGGCTCACCTCCACCAGGAACGCCAAGGCAGGCAGTTCCCACAGGGGCTCTTCCCTGCTGAGCCGCGGGAGCAGGCTGACGGCGATGCTGCGGCAGAAGGAGCGGGAGACACGGCACAGCTCCCTGCAAGGGGGAATAAAGGTGCCACAGACCCTGAGCCAGGTGGGCAAAACTCTCCTGGGACTGACTCACAGAGGACTGGTCTTTGGCCACCAGCCCAGGAGAG